ATCATATATTAGTTTATAAATTAAGTAAATTAATTTAACTTCCAACTAAGGGGATAATAAAATTGAATCCTGTTAATTAAATTTTAAGGTGAGATTGGAACATTGATAGTAATATCATATTTTTGTTTATTTAATAAACATTTACATTTAAGAATAAAGTACAAGAGATTTAATTTATTTGTACTCCTTTTGGTTCTTAATACTTCTCCGGTCCTTAATATAGAATCTAATTGTTAAATTAATTTTGGTCCTAAATATAAGACTTATTTTTCATATTTATCAATTTTTTCTAAATTACCCTTATGGATACTCCTTTAACCATAATCAAGTAAGTAGGGGATGAAGGATATTAAGAAAGATGATTATGATATTTTATGAAAAACATATTATATTTCTTATAATTAACTAGATTATGGTATTTGATGAAAAATATGTCATATTTTTTATAATTAACTAATTTGTCTAACTTTTTTAATCTGATCAAATTAGTTAAATAGGTCTTATATTAAGAACTAGATGAGTATAAGATGTTGATTAAAAAAATTATGGTCCAAAGTATCAGATATTATCAAGATAATTAATTAATGTGAATTTTTAACTTTCACTCTTATTAAATATAGGCCAGATATGAGATATAATAAAGATGTAACATTAGCAGCTTTATCATTTTTTAAAAAAAAATAATTTTTTTATTATTTTAGAATAAATTTAATGACTAAACTTTAATATAAGAAAAGTTAACTAAATTTTTATATTATTAACTAGCAAGTAATAAATATAGAAATAGTCATCAGGTTTATACAAGAAAGCAAAATATTGTTTGGCGAAAAGTCTGGCGTGATTATTGTATCATTATATCGGGAATCAATGTCTATCAACACACTTCTGCTGGTGGGGTTCATGACGCAGAATGTGCTCCCCCTCCTTGCACAAAATGAGCTGTGGGTGGTGTGCCCGTCAACAGTTGAACAGCATAATATCATAAACTACCATTTCTCAAAAAATAATTTTTATTTAAAATAGTTATTAAAAAATTTTAAATTTAGACCGTTTTAAAACTTACCACCTCAGAATTTGAATAGATTAAAGAAGTTTATTAAGTTAATTATTTATAATAAATAGGTGTTGCCTTCTTTAAAATATCTTTTTTAACTGTGTATATTAACTAGAATTACTATTTAATAAAATATTTAATATATATAACTTCTACCAGGTCTACTTCATTAAAAAAAAAAAATATCTCCGTTAAAGCCTCAGCTCCCCTTTCCTGACTTTCAACAAAGCCAAGAGTCATCCCCCTCCCTTCTTTCTCATCTTATTCCTATGCAAATGTCTCAATTTTTCTCAATGCAGAATCTTGCGTAACTTTGAGTAGTCTATTTTAATACCATTTTCAGTTTTTTAATATAAGAACTTATTTGCCTTTCATTTTGATCTTAAATATAAGATCATAATTCATTTTATTTCTCATATTTATTTTTTTTAAAAATAGTCTTTGTAATAATAGTAGTTTTAGCCAATACACTGGATTAAAAAATATTTTAGAAAAAAATCTAATTATTACAAATAACTAACTTAATTAATTTTTTTAATTTATTCAAGTTAGTCAACTAGCTTTTATATTAAGGCCATGATGTACTAATACTTATTTTTCTCTATTTTAATCTCTTATACAATTAATGGAGCTATTATTAACTTTTATTAAAATATATTTCAAGCACCCTGCAAATTCTTTTCATATTTCATGCTATATATATAAAATTGTCTTTTAACTAATTTTTTTATCCACATGAGCTGGTTAAATCATATTTTTTGAAAAATGATAGTTATAATATTATTTTGAAAAAATGACAATAAAATACCACTTGAACTCCAAAAAGACAAATAAGGCACCTGAATAAGCAAAATGACAAATAGGGCACTGGGTACCAATCTGGAATTCATATTTTCAGCCCAAAGACCAAAATGCCCTGATGAAATGCGGGAAGACAGACGCTGAAAGTGAGAGAAAAGAGAGAGGAAGACCGACGCAGTGAGAGAAAGGAGAGAGGAAGACCGACGCTGATGAAATGCGGGAAGAAGGAAAGAAGAATGTTGGAAATGCTATTATCTTACTCCTTCGTATCACCATTCTGTAGAGATTGTTGATTTTGGTTGTGGGAAAGAGGATTTGTAGTGAGAGAGGGAGTGAACCGAAGCGGAAATCAGAAAACAATGGCAAAAAATTACGTAACATAACTGCTGTCATATGCCTGCTGGTTTTTGGTAAATCCCACTACGTGGATGGTAAATTTCACTATACATGTAGTTAATTATGAAAGTTAATAGTTCAATATTTATTGTGACGTACTTCAAATGCACGTTCACTGAATGATTTATTTATGCTTATAAGTTGCCTTTCCGGTGAAAACAGGTTTATAAAACCCATTGAAGAAGTAGTCACTTTCATTATAAAAGTTGTAAATCCTAGTATATGTTTTGTAAAATTCAATGTGAAATTTTGTTGGTTTTTAGAAATAAGTTGCCCATCCCCTGAAAACTGGTTGCAAAACTCATTTAAGAAGTGGTAATTTTCACTACAAAAGTTGTAAATATCACTCTATGTTTTGTAAAATTCAGTATGGAATTTTATTGGTTTTTAGAAACAAGTTACCCATCCCCTGAAAACTGGTTGCAAAAGCCATTTAAGAAGTGGTCATTTTCACTATAAAAGTTGTAAATATCACTGTGTGTTTTGTAAAATTCAGCGTGAAATTTTATTGATTTTTAGAAACAAGTTGCTCATCCCCTGAAAAGAGGTTGCAAAACTCATTTAAGAAGTGGTAATTTTCACTACAAAAGTTGTAAATATCACTCTATGTTTTGTAAAATTCAGTATGGAATTTTATTGGTTTTTAGAAACAAGTTACCCATCCCCTGAAAACTGGTTGCAAAAGCCATTTAAGAAGTGGTCATTTTCATTATAAAAGTTGTAAATATCACTGTGTATTTTGTAAAATTCAGTCTGGAATTTTATTGGTTTTTAGAAACAAGTTGCCCATTCCCTGAAAACTGGTTGCAAAAGCCATTTAAGAAGTGGTCATTTTCACTATAGTGGTTGTAAATTTCACTATACATGTAATTAATTATGAATTTTACAAAATACATATTGTGATTTACAACTTTTGTAGTGAAAGTGACTACTTTGTTAATGGGTTTTGCAACATGTTTTCAAGAGATAAACAACTGTTTGTAAAAACCAATAAAATTTCACGTTGAATTTTACAAAACATATACTGGGATTTATAACTTTTATAGTGAAAGTGACTACTTCTTCAATGGGTTTTGTAAACATGTTTTCACCGGAAAGGCAACTTATAAGTATAAATAAATCATTCAGTGAACGTGCATTTGAAGTACGTCACAATAAATATTGAACTATTAACTTTCATAATTAACTACATGTATAGTGAAATTTACCATTCACGTAGTGGGATTTACCAAAAACCAGCAGGCATATGACAACAGTTATGTTATGTAATTGCTTGCCATTGTTTTCTGATTTTCGCTTCATCTTTCCCACAGGTTCATTTTTCCCACAGCTTCACATTCTCTGAAAATGGTTTTATGCGAAGAACAGAGACAGAACCAAAATTTTTTAGAGAAATGCTAGGCAATAACATTTTAAGCTGTGGGAACCCATCGAAAATCAGCGTCTTCCTCTCTCCTTCCTCTCTTCTTCCCGATTTCATCAGCGTCTTCCTCCTCTCTCCTTCCCGTATTTCATCAGTGTCTTCCTCTCTCCTTCCTCTCTCCTTTCTCTCACTTTCAGACAGGGTATTTTGGTCTTTTGGCCAAAAATCTGAATTCCAGATTGGTACCCAGTCCCCTATATGTTATTTTGCTTATTTATGTGCCTTATTTGTCTTTTTGAAATTCAGGTGGTATTTTATTGTCATTTTCCCTATTATTTTTATTTTAAATTTTGAAATTAAATCTGAATTATCTAGATTAAATTCCACGTTCCACATGTGATGGATTTTATGCTGTTGACGGGCACCCACCCACAGCTCATTTTGTGTACGGAGTGACAGCACATTCTGCATCATGAACCCGACCAGCAGAAGTGCGTTGATAGATACAGGTTCCCGATATAATAATACAATAATTACGTCAGACTTTTAGTCTCTTACGCAATTAAATGGAGCTAGTATCAACTTTTATTAAAATATATTTCAAATATTCTACAAATTCTTTTCATATTTCATGCTCTATATATAAAACCATCTTTTAACTAATTTTTTTATCCACATGAGCTGGTTAAATCATATTTAATATATATATTGTATTGGATGAGTAAAAAAAAGTTTTTTTTTCCCTTTTCAAATATGCTCTCATTCCTTGGATAGTGCTCTTATAATGATTTTACCTCTATTTAAAGGTACTCCTTCTCATTCTAAACACGAAACCTATTAAATCAGTTCCACATATATTAAGAAAAAAATGGTAAAAATATGCATGACTTTTCCCTAAAAACCCTCTGATCTGTCTAATCATTTAAAATTTGAGGGTAAAGTTTTTCCCATATGAGAGAGATTATTATTAGAAGATACAGAACAAAATGAGTAAGAAAAATTAGAAAAAAAATATTTAAAATGTCATATTTAAAACCAAAAGACATCCATTAATTAGGTCAAATATTTAGAACTAAATGCATTTTAGAAAAAATTCATCAATTATGCCTTACTAAATTGATATTTATATTTAGGAAAAAAATAAATCGAGAATTTGAGGATGGAGTACTCCCTCCATTTTTTAATGAGAAATAACTACCAAAATCACATGGTTCAAAATATTAGTTAAATCTAGCTAAAAATAAATAAATATATAAAATATATACATATTTTTTTCAATTACGTCATTATTTGTAAAGAGAGAAGTGAAAGATAATAAGTTAAAATTTATTGCAGCAAAATAATAAGTGAGATATACTTAATAGGGATAAAAGTGAAAATACCAGTTAAAATTCCAGACAAAGAAAATCTGTTCCTTATCTTTAGAGATAAATTAAAAGAGAGATTGTTTCGATACGGAGGGAGTAATAATTGCAAAACAATATCTACTCATAATAATGATAGGCAGCCGTTGATCCTTATCCAGATTTTTGGGCCACTCCCCTTCAATTGCGCTGCCTGTGTTTTCGTTATCAAGCGAGAAAGAAACGTCAGAAATCCCAGCGTAAGAAACATTATGGGACAGATATTCTAAACATATTCATTGGCATGTGTGTCTATATATACACACAAAAGAGATGGAGATTGAAGAAGTGCATATTGTGAGATATATATGTATAATATATCTTCGAAGGAGATGAAGGTAGGAAGAATGGTGCATTTATGGATGTTGCAAGTGATAGTTTTGAATCTGATAATCCTTGAAGCTTCCGAAGCAGTGGATCCCACTCAAGGATTCATCCCTGTTGCTGTGGACAGCTCTAATTTTCAGGTGCAAAAGCCCTACAATGTCCCTGTTAACCAGCGATATAGCTTCTCCAATGGAGTTCACAGGTTCCGGGTCTACTCCACAGACAAGCCTTTCAAATCCGGCAGCGGCACTCTACCTCGGACGGAGATCCGAATAACAGTAAGCTCCATCATCTCAATTTTATGTTTCCCCATAGCTTCTCTCTCCCTTTCTCTCTCTAGATGCACTTGCGTGTGTGTGTGTCTGTGTGTGACCAATCGGATACTTTTTCTGAGGTCGAAAATTTTTTGTTGAGGGAATCTTCTTGAATGTTAAAGAATTTGTGGGACACTTATCCTGTAAGAGATAGAGAGGGGGGAAAAGATATAACGGACAAAGAGAGATATTAATTAGTCAAAGTTTGGTAAAATGTGTTGTATCATGAATAAAACTGAGAGTATTACTTCTCCTGTTAATTTGTTTTTAGTATAAAAGCTACCCGGCTGATTTGGATCAATTCTCGGAGATAAATAGAGTGAGGTATTATATATTTAGAATCAAAATCAATTCTAACTAATTTTTATATTAAAAAAGGAAGGAATATATAGTTTTGTTTTTTTATCATTTTGTGATTAGTAAAGATATTTCAATAAAAATAATACCTATTTATTATAAATAAATAATTTAATTAATTTTTTAATTAAATTAAATAACTAGCTCTCATAATAAATATTAAAAATTATAAGTTGGGTAGGTAATTTAAAAAAAAATGAAAAATGTATAAAATGAATTGAAGTAACATATCCAGGGTCAAATCTAACCTCTGGAATCCCAACTAACTTTTATATTAGAAACTGAAAAGAATATATGGTTTTTTTTTGTGAATACTAAAGTAAAATACTTTTCAAAGTTGAAGGTATTTAAAAGGGGAAAATGACTGAAAACGGTATTAGTCAAAGGGTCATGATGTCTGACTGATGTGTTTGGCAAATCTGAAGGGACATGATTACACATCCGGGGTGTGGCAATTTGAAGGGCATGGTTACGTACCAAGTGGAACAACTGGGGTATGCATTATGCAAGTGTTTGGAGGAAGCCCTACCGCCACAACCCTTCAGCTTAGGGTTTATGATGGTTCTCTCACATCTTACAGATCCCCTGTCCTGCTTCGAAACATGTACAACAGATGGTTCAGACTCAACGTCATCCATGACGCGGCTGCCTCCAATGTTAAGGTTTATATCGACGGAGTTCTCAAATACAATGGAGCTGGTCGGGGACGGGCCAATCACTACTTCAAGTTTGGGGTTTATACACAGAATGATCCTTCCCATTACATGGAATCTCGTTGGAAGAATATAAAACTTTTCAGAAAGTAGAGTTCTCTTTTGGAATGCCTTGTCCTGATCATGATAAGAATAATAATGTCTCTCTTTCAATAAATAATAATAATAATTTGGATGGGCAATAATATATGACCAATCCAACTTCTTTACATTGATTTTAATCGGCAAATATATTTGACTTGTATGTTACAAGTTTGTGTGTTTGAATTTTGTTATCAGATCTCTCCTCATCAGTTATGTAGGTAATCAGTAATTATCTTAGTGAATGTTGGTCCCCTGAAATTCAACTCGTCACCTAAGTTTTCGTTTCCAGTAAAGAAAAAAAAAATTCCATAATAAAGTTAGGGATAAGATCGTGAGGGAAATGGTCAGAGAGACAGGGACAAATATAAATGTTTGATGAGTTTTATTGAATGTTCCTTCCTCTATACTATACTATGCATACACAAACACACACATATATTTCTCTTGTACTATATGTGTGTGTATACATATGTATGTCGTAAGCTTTTTAATTATGATGAAGAATTATTTCAATTTTTTTTTAAAAATAGACTTCGCATTCGACAAACTAAGATGTATATTTCTTTCTTTTCGAATCTAGTATATGATGGATTTCTATTTTGTATATATATTGAAGATTCATACCTTGACAAATATTTAAAACAGAAAAAATTAATTACTCAAATAACGACCAAAGTAAGGGATCGGACTCACAAATTTTTCTCGTCAAATTGTCATCACTTACTAATAAGAAACAAATATTTAGTTGGGAATTATGAAGAGAAACGATTATGATCAGGAGCATGGCAACTAGGGGGAATACTTACGTGCCTAGCGGGACACAATATGCTTCACAATGAAGCTCATTCATGATTTAACTTAACCGATGCAAGTTTATTTTAAAAGTTTTTTTAGTTTAAAATTATCAGAAAGTGTGAAAATGAAGTAATGTTGCTTTTTATCATTAACAAATATTACCTCTTGTCCTTAATCTAATAGCTCATTTAATATTTATTTTGATTTTAAATATAAGACTTCAATCCACTTTGTTTTTCATGTTTATTTATTTATTTCTAAAGTAGTCTTTGTAATAATGGTAGTTCTAGCTAATATACTTGATTAGCAACAAGAATTTAGGAAAGACAACACCTATTTATTACAAATAACTAACATAACTAGTTTTTTTAATCTATTCAAATTAGTTAACTAACTCCTATATTAAGAACGAGGGTAATATTAACAGTCAATATCTTAGTGTTAGTTTTTTAACAAGATAGGACAACATTATTACGCTTTAAAACTTCCATGTCAACATTAAACTCAAAACAACTTCCGAAACAACATTATTTTATAACCAAAGCTTTTGGGACATATAAATCTGTACAATACATAGATGCTCACAGAGACGTCAAATTTTGGGAACTCTTGGAAGTATATAGACACACATACATATGCCAAGTGTAAAAGCCAGGGAATTCGTGAATAATTTGTTCTATATTATTCAGATAAAAAAGTTCAAGTATTACAAAGGCACAAGCCTATTTAAGCTGTGTGAGATGGGCCTTACAAGCCATAAAGCCCAAAATAATAAAGAAGCCCAACAAGATCCTAAATAGCATTCCAAGTACAAAGCAAAACAAATCTAATAAGAAATAAACTAAATACAGACTTCAATTCTTAACACTCCCCCTCGAGTTGGAGACTAAATAGGTTCATAATTTCTAACTTGCTGAGAAGTCTTGTTTGAATCTCTTTGCTCACTGTCATGGTTAGGATATTTACTTCTTGGTTTGAAGATCTTACATGCCGTAACTTTATTAGACCTCGAGTCACTTTTTCCCTCACAAAATAACAGTCAATCTCCATGTTTTTGGTCCTCTCGTGAAATACTGGATTTGATGCTATATGACTGCCTTGCTGTCACAATAAACATCTACTGATCTTGTATAATTGATTCCAAGATCTTTAAGTAACCCAAGCACCCAAATCACTTCCGAAACTGCTGATCCTAAAGCTCTATATTCAGCTTCTGCTGATGACCTCACAACTATATTTTGTTTCTTTGTCTTCTATGCTATCAACGATCCATCCAGTTTGAGAAGATATCTAGTGACAGACTTCCTTGTGCTGTCATAAGCTCCCCATTCTAAGTCACAAAGACATGTCAGATCCAGTTTTCCCTTTGAGCTATGAAGAATACCAACTCCTGGAGATTGCTTTAGATATCTCAGGACTCCCAAGGCTGCTAACATATGTGATTTCATTGGATCCTACATGAACTGTGACAAGACCTGCATAGGAAAGGAAATATCAGGCTGTGTAACCATCAAATATATCAACTTACCAACTAATTGTCTATATCTTTCTAGATTTTTGACCAGGTCTTCCAGCTTGTCTTTCCCTTCCTCATAGGCTAGCTATTTCAAATTCTGTAACATAGGCAAAGAGAGTGGCTTACATCTACTCATCCCTGTTTCAGCAAGTAAGTCAAGTACATATTTTCGCTGATTTAACACTATACCCTTACTGGACCTAGCAACTTTAATTCCTAAGAAATATTTCATTAATCCCAAATCCTTGATTTTGAAAATCCTATGAAGGTATTCTTTAACATCCTTAATTCGGTGCTTAGTACTTCTAGTAATAAGAAGATCATCTACATACACTAATATAAACAAAACCATCATCATAATTCTTAAAATACACAGAGTAGTCATGTTTGCTTTGAGTAAATCCTCCCCTTACCACAGCCATAGACATTGTCTAGTTCCACTATCTAAAAGCTTGTTTTAACCCATATAAGAATTTCTTGAGTTTACAGACCATATTCTCCCCCTTATCATCAAAACCATGGGATATGGTCATGTAAACTTCTTCATCAAGATCTCCCTACAGAAACACATTATGTACATCCATTTGATAAAGATTCCAGTTATTAATGGCTGCCATTTTCATAACTATACGCATAGTAATCATCTTTACTACAAGGGAAAAGGTCTCATGGAAATCTATTCCTTCCCTTTGGTTGTATCCTTTGGCTACTAGTCTAGTCTTGTATTTATCAATTGTTCCATCAGGTTTATATTTCACTTTATATACCCATTTACACGCTATTGCTCTTTTCCCTTTCGCCAAATCAACTAGTTCTTAGGTTTTATTATGCTCTAGGGCTTTTATTTCCTCTTTTATTGCTTTGATCCAATTAACATCCTTAATAGTCGTATTATAAGTATGAGGTTTATTGATAGAGTCAATAAAGCACAAGAAACACAAATAAGAGGAAGAAATATTTTCATAAGACATGCATTTCTCTATTAGGTATCTATATTTATCTTTCTCCTCTTGTTTCTGATTTTGTCCAGAACTTACCAAGCTGCAGACATAATCCTATTGCCCAGATAGGTGGTCTCCTGTCTCTAGTTGGTCTAGTTGAAGTTTGTTCTGAGTGTGCTTGACCCTATGGCTCAGTGGGAATTCTCTTGTTGTCCTTCATATGTGTAAGACTGGCTACTCTTTGATCATCATGTTTAGTTTTAGGATTATTTGTTCTGTTAATTTCTAATTTTATAGGAGTGTCTTTAGGATCAAACATGAACATTTCTCTAAAATCTTTATTGACTCCCCCTTGAATAATAATCATAGCACCTTTGAAAGGAAACTTGTTTTTTTATAAAGTTTACATGCCTACTCACAAATATACCCCTGCTATTTAGATTGAGGAAGATGAATCCTTTCTGATTGTTGGGATACCTCAGAAAGACATAAGGTATTGATCTAGGTTTAAGTTTGTGTACATTAGATAAATCAGTGGCATAGGCCAAACATCCAAGGACTTTCAAATTTGTGTAATCAGCTAGTTTACCATGCACAATCTCATAAGGTATTTGAAACCTTAGGATTTTTCAAGGTAATCTATTAACAAGGAAAGTGGCCATCTTAACGCATTCCTCCCAGTATTTAATTGGTACCCTAGATTGCATTATCAAACCCCTGGTAACTTGTGTCAATGTTCTATGTTTTCTTTCAACTATACCATTATGTCTAGGGGTATAAGGGCAAGTAGTTTCATGAACTATTCCTCTTTCTCCAAAGAAGCATTTAAGATCATTATTCACAAATTCAGTTCCATTGTCACTTCGAATTTTCTTAACAGAAGTAGAAAATCGAGTAGAAATGTGAGCAATAAAATTCTTTCTGTTGACTATAGTTTCAGTCTTAAGCTGCATGAAGAGTATCCAAGTTGCTCTAAAAAAATCATCAACTACAGTGAGAAAATATGGATATCCTGAATGTGTGGGTGTCTTATAAGGTCCCCACACATCCATTTGAAGTAGTTCAAAACAACTATTCGTTTTAATACAATTGGGGGAAAGGGGGATTCTAGTCTGTTTAGCTTGAATGCAAATGTCACAAACTTTATTCATAGCAGTATCTTTGTTTCTTCCAATATGCAAATGTTTCATTATAGAAATAGGGGCATGCCCAAGTCTATGATGCAATAACCAGATATCATCAGAATCAGAACCAACATTTTTATGTTTATCAGCAGAGTTTACATGCTCATGTTCTTCATTTAGTTTTAACAGCTACAATCCTTCAACAATTTTACCAGTCCCCATCATTCTGCCACCCTGAAGGGCCTGTATAATGCAATAATCAGGAAAGAATGCAGTCATACAATATGCTTCCCTCTAGTCAATCTAGAAACAGATATAAGGTTGAACTTTAGTTCAAGGGCATATAAAACTTCTTGCAATTCAATTCCATGAGTAATAGGAGCTCACTGTCTGTTAGGGATTTTAATGGATTTTATGGGTCCAATATATTCTTTATAGCTATGTCGAGCATTTCTATACAGGACAAAACTTGTCAAACCTGTACTGCTAAGTGCATGGACAATGATTGTTTCTGACTCCTTCTTGAGCAACTCAAGCAACTTCTCGTATTGCTTCAATGTGAAGCTTGGGGACATTGTGTTTGCAGCATGGGTTAGTGCTTCAGGTTGTTGTCCTATCTCAGTCCCTGATTGGTTCAAGCTTGCTTCTTTGTTGCCTTTGCTTTGATTCCCTTTGAAATCCACAGCGTATCCCACCAATTGAAAGCAATTGTCCTTGGTGTGCCCCTTTTTATGACAATGGGAACATTCTATCGATGAGGTCCCTCTATCGCGTCCTCAGCCGCATCCTCTTCCCTTTCCAATCATTGCTATGCCTTCAACTGGTTGCACTGCAGAGCAATTGGTGATGTTCTTTTGAGACTCATCTTCAAGAATCATCATGTATGCTTGGTTAACAAAGGGAAGAGGATTATGAGAAGAATCTAACCTCGTGCTTGACTAAATGAATCATTCAGTCCCATGAGAAATTGCAATAATTTCTGCTGGTGGATCATTTGTGCATAGACTCTTGAAGTCTCAAATTTGCAAGAAGGTAAGGAAATCAAGACGGCTTGTTCTTCCCATAGTTTCTTGAGACGGCATGTAGTATGCTGAAACATAGAGGGAGCCTTGACGAAGTGAGTGAATCTCCCAATAAATGCTGAAAATTCTTGATCCAGTGACTTTATCGAATCTTTCCTTAAGATCAATCCATGCGCCTCTCGAGATCCTTGAAAATACACCATGCCACTTGCTAATTCTTTGGAAATGGAATTTAATATCCAAGAAAGCACCACCACATTGCACCTTTCCCACTAATCATGGAGGTGCTCTTCTTGCGTCTCTTCAGTGCAGGATCTATCGATGAATCCAAGTTTATGTTTTTTGCACAATGCAATGCCCATTTGCATGAATAAAGTTTGTGACATTTGCATTCAAGCTAAGCAGAATAGAATCCCCTTTTCCCCCAATTGTATTAAAACGCACATTGCCCTACTCCATATCATATAATTCTGTGTCCCGGTGAGAACTTGTTGAATGACCGTCGCCCCTTGTGTGACTGAAGGAGGGAGATAAGGGGGGTGATTGAAGCAAAGGTTCGCAGTAGAGGTTTCATCGGACGTCTTCTTGTTCTCCATAGTACTTTGAAACTCAACCGCTCTGATAGGGTTTCTCTCTTATGTGTGTGGGTGAATGGGAGAGCGATCTTGATTCTCCGGTCAACCCCCTTGTGGGAAACCTTAAAGCGTCTTGGGCCAAGCACCATCATTGGACCTATGGCTTTAGTACCATGTAAAACATGGGCTAGAGAATTCCTGAATAATTTGCTCTATATTATTCAGATCAAAAAGGTCACGTATTACAAAGGCACAAGCCTATTTAAACTGTGTGAGATGGGCCTTACAAGCCATAAAGCCTAAAACAACAAAGAAGCCCAACAAAATCCTAAACAAGATTCCAAGTACAAAGCAAAATAAGTCTAATAAGAAATAAATTAAATGCAGACTTCAATTCTTAACACCAAGGTTTCCAAAACCTAGTTTTTCATTATGAAATGGCATTTTAAAGAAAGCACCGTCACTGAAATTAATGTTTTTTGTTTTTTGGGTAGTATTTTCAGTGCTGATACGATCGATACCCCCTCCCCAAATAATACATACAAAAAAGAACTCTTTATAATTGAAAAAGAATAATAAAGTATACCTAGTACTCTCTACGAGATTAACTAAACTCTCGTTCATTAGTCATGATCTTAAATTTAGAAACTTATGATCGTTCTTTTGTCATAATATGTTTTAGCATCTGGCAATATTTAAAAAAAAAATTGACTCTTTTCTTATATCCTATATATTCTCAGTTAAGTACTTGTACATATGATATATTGAAGAACTTAGCGATATAATACATCTGCAAGCTGGAGCAATGGGCCAATTATGGATGTTTTATCTGATTGGTCTGAAACTGATAATCCTTCAAGTTTCTGTGAGGTCCGAAGCAGTGGATCCAACCCAAGGATTCGCCCCTGTTCCTTTGCACAACTCAAATTTTAAGGTACAGAAGCCCTATGATGTGGCAGTGAACAAGCGTTACAGCTTTGTGAATGGAGTTCACAAATTACGGGTGTACTCTACAGACAAGCCTCTCAGCCCTGACAGCCACACCCTACCTCGTACTGAGATCCGAGTAACAGTAAGCTCTCCATCATCACAATTTTTTTTTTAGTTTCCATTTCTTTTTCTGTGTTTTATAATTTCAAAGAATATGCGTACCTGATATGGACGCCATGGTTGATCAGCAGAGTATGAGACAGTAGAGCTTTACAACCCCGTTGATCCCCACCTTAGTTAATTACAGTACAGGGAGTGTTTGAATAAAACAAAAAACAATTTAAAAAAAATACTTTTATATAAATTGAGATATTTCTACTTAATTTCCTGTAAAATTATGATTTGATTTTCACCCAAAGACCTATAAAAGGAGATGTGATAAGAAAAAAATTGGGATTGTGGTTAAAAAACTATTATAATCCTTTCTCTATTAAATTAATTAATTCAATATAATTAATTAATATTATAAAATAGTCTCTTTTCTTTCATATGGTTAGACTTATGATAGAAAACCATTGGCTACTAAAAGACAGCTGGTTGATAATATTCAACAGTGACGCGTTCTTTGGTTCTGCTATTTATAAGGTACAAAGACTGTTTTATTATTCTATCCATAATTCTCTGGCAAAACAAAAATTCTATTTATAATTCTTTTTTCACATGAATGTAGAATGATACCATTCATTTATTATTCATGGAAACAAGCCATTAAAGCATACTTCTTCTAATTCCTGTTATAAATCACTCTTAACTAATTCACATGAACCAAGAAAATGATAGTTAATTCATTAAATTTGTAATAAAATTAAAATGATTTTCAAAATTACCCTTATCAACTACTCTAAACTTCAACATCATAGTATTAATTTCTACTCTCTCTTATTACCTTATTAATTAAATATGAGCATAGATAAAAAAAAATATTGAACACTCCTGGAAACTATCAAATGCCTTATAAAAAGGATCAAAGAATATCAGGTTAAGGTGTATCCAACACCGTGAAGTATTTTCTCATGTGCATTCAGTATTCTTAAATATTTTGTGGAGCATTCAGTACCTTGAAGTATTTTTTCAAATACATCTAACACCAAAAAATATTTTTTAGTGCATTCAGCACTAAGGCAAAAAAAAAAAAAAATACTTTGAGATGCTAGATGCATCTAAAAAATATTTTGGAATGCTAGATGCACCACAAAATCCTTCAGGGTACTGGAAGCATTTAAGAAAATACTTCAGAGTGTTGAATGTACCTTAACCCATGAATATCTTCTAAAAGGACTAGAGGAGTAGGATATATTGAATATGGGTAAAGTTAAAAAGTTATTAATGTATGAAACAAATAAAGTTAATTGAAAGTATCTTGTAAATAATTAGATAGAAGATAGAGAAGCATACTGATAATGTGGTGTTATATATTTGTTGTGAATATTAAGTATCAAAATATATCTTTCCGACTATTTAAAAGGGGAAAATAACTCAAAAGTACAATCAATTGCAAACTGTATTAGTAAAATCTCATTATATCACAAAGTAGTAACCCACAAATGAATATTTAATTTGTTTTGAAATTTGAAGGGACATGATTACACATCTGGGGTGTGGCAATTTGAAGGGTATGGATACGTGCCAAGTGGAACAAGTGGGGTATCCATAATGCAAGTGTTTGGAGCAAGGCCTCCTTCTGCTTCAACCCTTCAGCTTAGGGTTTATGATTCTTCTCTCACATATTACAGATCCCCTGTCCTCCTTCACAACATGCACAACAGATGGTTCCGACTCAACGTCATTCATGACACCGACGCCTCCATTGTTAAGGTTTACATCGGCAGAGTTCTCAAGTTCAAAGGATCTGCTCGGGGACACGCCTCTCATTACTTCTAGTTTGGAGTTTATACACAGAATAATCCTTCCCATTACATGGAATCTCGTTGGAAGGATATCAAACTTTTCAGAAAGTAGTTCTCTTTTGTCTAATGCCACCCACGGCAAGCTATCTGAGAAAGGCCTTACTAGATTCATAAGCTCTCATTATTAGTTACGACCTTAGCTATAATTATGGGGATCTTGTGGTGATCTTTCTTGTCGTAATTTTTATAACAGCTTGTGTGAAAGTAATGTATATTTATATATCGTTGTTATAATTTAATATTTAGGTGAAGTTTTATATAATATATCATTATTTACGGGCGTTGAGCCGATGAACTTCTCTTTATCGAAGTATATCCATTAGAATTTGATCTTACATTATCTTCAAAACGAAGATGACACCCATTACAAGACACAAACCATAACAAACATACTTTTTCTCATAATAATATAATTTCCGAAGGTAGTTAGCTTGTCTCAATTCTTAACCTCACTTTAACTACTCTACTCTTTCAGCCTAGAATATTCTCAATTATGCTACTGCTTCTGGCCTTCAACACATGATATAAATGCACGCAGATTTAGGCTAGCTATCCCATAATTCTCACCACTTCATAAATATCTGGCTGCTTTTTTTAAACATGGGAGGATCTGTTTATCAGAGTAGTGGTGCGTTGATCTTACTTGTTTGTTGTTATTTATTCGTAAGTGTTAGAACCTCCCATCTTGTAGACCTAACCCTAGGTTTCACTGAACTCCCTCTGAACACTTCCAATTTCAAACTTCATACGCCTTATGACCTACCCGTTAGCTCAAGGTACAGCTTCCCAGATGGGGTGCGCAGGCTTTGGGTGTACTCCACTGACAAACCTTTCATCAAGAAAAGCCGTGGTTCTCGATATGAAATCCGAATCCAAGTAAGCCTCCTATACATATAATTACATTTCTATATACTTATGTCGGTTCTTAATATAGAAGTTAGTCGAAGGGTTGAATTGATACTAAATATAAAACATTAGTCTATAATACAAATTAGTTATGTAACTCTTATATTAAGAATCGGAAGGAGTATCATTTTGTTTGCAAATGTAGTGTTTAACGAGATTTTTTTAGGGTTAAGATTATTCTTCAGGAGTGTGGCAATTTGAACGCCATGGATACGTACCTAGAGGTACTTCAGGAGTGTGCATTATGCAACTTTTCGGAGCGGATCCTCCACAAGCAATGACTTTGATGCTCAGGACTTACAATGGCTCCCTTACATATTACAGGAGGCCAGTTCTGGTTCCATATGTGTGGGATAGATGGTTTCAGTTATATGTGATTCATTATGTGGAAGCTTCCATTGTGAGGGTTTCTATAGATAGGCTTTCTGTTTTATGAAGCTCCTGGGCGTGGAGGTGACTCCCATTACTTCAAATTTGGAGTTTATAAACAGAACGATCCTTCTTACTACATGAAGTCTCCTTGGAAAGGAATTAGAGTCCTTCGTAAGCTTCACTATTATTGATGATTTTGGGACATTTAGTTCCTTGGATGTCACTTGTTTAATTATGTTTGAAATAAACATGATAAATATTATTTTTATTGTGGCAACAACTGTATTGTCCCTTCGGGGACGTTAATGATTGGGTTTAATGGATATAATTTTTCCCTTCACGTGAAAATATTTCCGTGACAGTAAATTTATTCATATTAATTTACTCCATAGGATATCTGAAATTCTATTCCGTGAATATTGGGAGTGAAGAATGATGAAAATGGGTTCAGTGACTTTCTTTCCACTGGACACCCGTACTTATATTATACTGTTTGTATCAGAGTACAAATCTTAAGCATAAGTTACTATACAACTAAGCTTTACAGCTGGCATACTACTGGAATACAACTTGTATCTGTTATAACTAATTACATAACAACCCACGTGCTTAATTCTAACATCCCCCCTCAAGTGAAGGCAGGTGTGAAGCTGATGCGAGCTTGGTTCTGAGAGTCCAGAATCTTGAATGAGGCAGAGCCTTTGTCATGCAGTCGGCTATCTGGTCATCAGAAGGAACATGACCAATAACAACTCTTTTAGCTAAAACTTGATCTCGAATGAAGTGAGCGTCCAGTTCAATATGTTTGGTTCTTGCATGATACACAGGATTACTGGCTAATGCCTGTGCACTGGTGTTATCACACCAAATTTGAGGAACTCTTGTTAATGGAAACTGCAACTCATGAAGTAAGGATTGAAGCCACAATAATTCACTTGCTAAATCAGTGAGAGCCCTATATTCAGACTCTGTACTGGACCTGGATACAGCTCTTTGTTTTCTTGAATTCCATGATACAAGAGAATTTCCAAAGAATACACAATAGCCACTAACTGATTTTCTATCATCTGGACATGCTGCCCAATCTGCATCAGAGTAGCCTATAAAATTCAAGTCTTTACTAGGTTTAATACAGAGACCAAGAGTTGCAGTTCCTTTTAGATATCTAAGCAGCCTTTTTACTGCTTGCCAATGCGCAGAAGTTGGGCAATGTAGAAACTGACTTAACCGATTCACAGCAAAGGAAATGTCTGGCCGAGTTTGTGTAACATATTGCAATGCACCAATTGCACTTCTATACTTAGTGGGATCAGTCAATGGTTCTCCTTCATAAGCAGACAAGGATTTTCCAGAAATCATGGGTGTAGGACAAGGAGCACAAGTCAACATTCCATATCTTTTTAGCACATCAGAGATATACTTAGTCTGACTGAGAACCATACTGTTTGAAGTTCTTTTTACCTCAATGCCAAGAAAATAGTGTAGACCACCCATGTCTTTTAAGGCAAACTTGGCGTTCAGCTCTTTGATAAATCCTTTAATTTTTATAGGATCATTACCAGTCACTATGATATCATCCACATACACCAATACTAACAGTATGATTCCTGACTTCTTGAACCAGAAAAGTGAAGTATCACACTTTGTATTTTCAAAACCCCAGCTTAATAGAGTGTTTTTCAGCTTGTCAAACCAAGCCCTGGGGGCTTGCCGTAGACCATACAAGGCTTTCTCAAGTTTACATATATGATTGGGCTTCACTGGATCAACAAACCCTTCAGGCTGTCTCATATATACTGTCTCTGCCAGAGTACCATTAAGAAACGCATTATTAATGTCCAGTTGATTCACACACCAGCCTTTAGACATTGCAATAGTAAGAATCAATCGGATTGTAGAAGCTTTGACTACTGGACTAAAGGTTTCATAATAATCTATACCAGGACTTTGCTGAAAACCTTTTGCCACCAATCTGGATTTCCTCTTAGAAAGTTTTCCATCTGAATGAAACTTGTTCCTGAAAACCCACTTACACTCAACTATACTTTCTCTACCAGTAGGAGGAACAAGAACCCAAGTGTTGTTTCTGACTAAAGCATCAAACTCCTCTTTCATTGAAGCTTTCCACTCAGGTTTCTTCAAGGCTTCAGGTACTGAAGAGGGTTCAGACTCTGTCTCCAGTACTTGTTTTGCCACTCCTACAAAGGGGTGCTTTGGTTTGAAAATTCCAGCTTTGCTCCTTGTCATCATTGTATGAACATTTTGTTGCTGCAAGAGTGCTTCACTATAAGATGAATTTGATTCAGATTCATGTGAAGAAGACTCAGGATTTTCCTGAGATGAGGACACTGGTGCCGGCACTTCACTCTCATAAGAAGGCATAACATTGATTGAATTCTCTCCTTGATCAACTACATGTTGCTGCTGTGATTGCCCCTGAGGTAGAGAAATATTAGGTAGCATAAAAAATGAAGCATCAACAATAATATTGTTTTATGTCTGCTTAGTATTCAGAAAACCAGCCTTAAATGGAAAATCAAGCTCATTGAACACAACATGTCTAGAAATAAAAATTCTTCCGGTAGAGCTCAGGCACTTATAACCTTTGTGATCACTACTATAACCCAAGAACACACACTTTACTGTATGATACTGTAACTTGTGTGTATTGTAAGGACGAAGGCAAGGAAAACATGCACTGCCAAATACTTTTAGAAAATTCAGATCAGGAACAGTCTGATATAGAGTTTCATAAGGTGATTTTCCACTTAATACTTCGGTTGGCATCCTGTTTATCAGATAAACACTACATTGAAACGCTTCATACCAATAGTGCAGAGGCATAGATGCTTGTGCTAGAAGACTAAGCCCAGTTTCTACTATGTGGCGATGTTTCCTCTCTGCACGGCCATTCTGATTTGATGTATGTGGACATGAATGCCTGAATTCTATGCCATGTTCAATCATTAAACCAGTAAAGCTTCGAAATTCTCCTCCCCAGTCACTCTGAATAGTCTTAATTTTTCTTTCAAATTTATTTTCAACCAACTGCTTAAACTGAACAAAAGCACTTAATGCCTCTGATTTCTGCCTCAATGGATATAACCAAGTAAATCTACTGTGATCATCAACAAAATGTATATAATATTTAAATCCAGAAGTGCTAGCAATGGGTGCAGGACCCCACAAATCTGTGTGGATTAGATCTAACACATTTGAAGCTTTACTATCAGATCGATGAAATGGCAATAAATGTGACTTTCCATATTGACATGCATCACAGAAAACAAAATCAATTTTATTGATCTTGATATTGCAAGAGGACAAAGCTTTATTCATTACAGACAGAGTAGGATGCCCTAGTCTCATATGCCACATTTGAGCCAGACTGTCCTTATAATTCTTTTCTTGTATGGTTAAAGCAGTTGGTACTTTTATAGCTTTGTCTGAATACTTGTTTACTGTTCCTGCCATTTCATAGCCTCCTTCTTTACGAACCCCTTTCTGCAGAACTTCCTTGGTGTCCTGATCCTTCACATAACAACCATGTCTATCAAACTTAACAGAGACATTATTATCGGTTGTGAGCTGAACAACACTTAATAAATTGTGTTGTGATCCAGGAACATACAATACATTATTTAGACTGAGTGACTGAGAAGAGCATGGTAAAGAAGAAGATCCAGTTCCTAGAAT